GATAACTCGAGTAAAAATTGAGATATCTTAACGAAACTTGGTACGTGAACTTCTTTTGGGCGTGGGACGGATGGTATTGAAAATGGGCGAAATCGGATAATAACCACGCCTACCTCCCATATAACGGTAATTTTAAGAAATACGAAAACTGCGATATTTTAGTAACTACTGAAGATAATTCACTCAAAATTGATACTTACAATGAGTTTCAGACGGAAAACATGAATATTATAATTTTTTGGAAAATGGGCGTAGCCACGCCCACTTATGGTTACATGTGTATATCTTGGTAACCGCTGCACCAATTTCTTCCAAACTTGGCACAGTTGTTGGCCTTAGTACAGTTTACTAAATGGCTGAAAATGGCTCGGACAATAACCACGCCTACCTCCCATATAACGGTAATTTTCAGAAAAACGAAAACTGCGATATTTTAGTAACTACTGAAGATAATTCACTCAAAATTGATATTTGCAATGAGTTTTAGACGAAAAATAAGAATATTACAAAATTTTGGCAAATGGGCGTAGCCACGCCCACTTATGGTTACATGTGTATATCTTGGTAACCGCTACACCAATTTCTTCCAAACTTGGCACAGTTGTTGGTCCTGGTACAGCATACCAATAACCACGCCCACATCCCATATAACGGTAATTTCGAGAAATACAAAATCTTCGATAAATCAGTAAATATTGAAGCTAATTTATTCAAAATTGATGATTGCAACAATTCTTTACCAAGAAATACGTTTATGACAAAATTTTGGAAAATGGGCGTAGCACCGCCCACTTGTGATCACATATATGTATCTCGCTAACCGTTCTAGCAATTTGTACCAAGCTCGGTATGGTTATTGTGCTTGCCACATAAAAGGAAACCGTTGAAAATTGTTGAAATCGGACTAAAATTGAGGCCGCTTTTCATATAACGGTAAATTTCAGATATGCTTGAAACTGCAATATTTCGAAGTTTAAGGACGCTAATTTACTTAAAATGTATACACCCCGGCTTATCATGTATTGGTAGCTTTCGGAAAGGTGGAAAACATATATTTAATACTTGCGCCGGGTATTTAATGTTCGGCTCCGCCCGAACTTAGACTTTCTTACTTGTTATAAATTGGCAACATTTTGTGCATGAGTTTTTGCGAGAATTTCCTTGTATGGTGATTCCCGCCGATGTACATATGGAGCTCATGAGCATGCGCAGAGCCCATAATGAAAGTGTAGAAACGTTTTACTACAAATGTATTGCGGTTGGTCGACGCGGTAGAATTGACGAAAGTTCATTAATTAAATACATTATAAACGGTATTAATGACACAGATATGAAGAGAAGTATCTCAGTGAACAATTATGCTACGTGCAATGAACTGTTGAGTGCGATTACAAGTTATAGTGCGTATAATTGTACGAAAAATGTTGCAGATGTGAAACGTAATTCACCTGTTGAGTCCCATAAGTCGGTAAAGCAGGACGAAAAGCAAAAAAAGCAAATTGTTTGCTTCAATTGCCGAAAACCTGAGCATTTTTCGCGTGATTGTCCAGAACCGCAGAAACGCGATCGTAGCGCGAAATCTGAAAACAATAACTTAAATGACAAAAACAAAAGTGCGAAAGTAAATTGTAATGCAATTGAAAATGTGGAAAATGATTTTGCTATTAAGCAAATAAAAGTGAACGGACACAGTGCCTTGTGCACTTGTTGATACTGGTAGTAAGCGCACGTTAATTAGAAAATCGTTTGCAGACGAAATTGGTAATATTGAGCGCTGCTGTATAACATTAAAAGGCTTCGGCGGTGGCCAGTATCAATGTACATCAAAATTGAAGACAATTTTGACGATTGATGACAGTGACTGTGCAAGTGAAGTGCTAGTTGTTGACGACGGTATGATCGATTACCCAATTTTGCTCGGTATCGATGTCCTATGCGCAAATGAAAATAAATTCGTGTTTGAAGGACGAAATATATGGTTTATAAAAAAGAACAATAACAAAGTTATGAAAATCACAGACGGTGAATTCGGTAATTTAAATAAAGTGTTGCAAGTATATGCACATTGTTTTTCTGTGGACAAGGCTATAGCAAAAACTGATCTCGTGAAAATGAAAATCGCACTATCGTCGGATGTGCCGATAAATATGAAGCCATATCGTATTCCCTTCGCACGGCGACCGGTTGTGAAAGAAATCATAAATGATTTGTTACGGTGCGAAATTATTAGGCCGTCGAATTCCCCATACGATTCGCCAATCGTATTGGCGGAAAAGAAAAACAGTGAGTTCCGGTTATGCGTAGATTACCGGCAGTTAAATAAAATTACTGTAAAGCACCCTTTTCCAATGCCTGTCATTGACGAACTATTTGCGCAACTTTCCGGTAATAAGTATTTTACTTATTTGGACTTTAGAATGGGTTACCACCAGATTGAAGTGAACGAAAACTCAAGACCGTATACGGCGTTTGTGACAACCGAAGGTCACTTCGAATACAACCGTATGCCGTTTGGGCTTGTGAATGCTCCAGCTGTTCTCCAAGAGACTATGAACAAATTAGTGAAACAGTGTGTGTCGAAAGACATAATCGCGTATTTGGATGACGTTATCATCCCGAGTAGCTCTGTCGAGGAGGGCATACAAAAACTAAAAGACTTTTTACGCGTGGTCGAATCGAACGGGTTAACGTTGCGGTTGGAAAGATGTAATTTCTTAAGTGAAGAAATTAGTTTCCTTGGCCATAAAGTTAGCCATGAAGGCATAAAGCCCGGTGAGCACAATAAAACGAAAGGAGGTAAGCCTGAGGGTGTGCTACACATCGAACCAACTGAACCTGTTCCGTTTAGAATTTTGCACATTGACCATGTGGGTCCGTTTGTGAAAAGTAAGCGAGGGTACACCTATGTTCTCGCCGTCAGCGATGGCCTCACCAAGTACCTGATTGTGAAAGCCGTGCGCAACACCAAAACTCTGCCTGTGTTGCAAACGTTAAATGAGGTATCCAGTTATTTTGGGCTACCCGTGCGCATTGTCACGGACCGTGGCACTGCGTACACTTCGAAGCAATTCGCAAAATATTGCGACGATAATGGTGTTCAGCATGTCAAAACCGCTGTTCGCACTCCCCGCGCTAATGGACAGGTGGAGCGTGCGAACCAAATCAGTCTGAATTATCTACGAACAACGACAACAGATCCCAGAGACTGGGACGAGCAGCTACGCAAGCTACAATGGTGCGTTAATTCACAGAAAAATGCGACGAACGGATTTAGTCCGAATGAATTAATCTTCGATTTCAAGTTGAATGACATAACGCGTAACCACTTAATAGCTGCCGTAATCGACACCGATGGCAATCAACCCATCACTGAGAAACGAAACTTGGCGTTGACATCCATGCAAGAACAGCGTAACAAGTGGAAAGAACGGTTCGACCGAAAACATAAAGAACCTTCCACTTACAGTGTTGATGATCTGATTGTAGTACAGCATGAGCCTTCTGCAACTGGAGAATCTCGAAAACTTGAGCCGAAGTACCGAGGGCCGTACGTCACTGCTAAAGTTCTTGGTAAAAACCGATATCTGCTACGTGATATCGATGGTATGCAAGTGAGTCAGAAAAAGTTCACGTCTGTTTATTCATCTGACAAGCTAAAGCTTTGGTGCTCCTCACCTCCTGAGCTCGATGGGTATAATGGTGAGAGCGACGACGAAAACGACGAATCAGCGGACATCGGGACGATGACATTGTCAGGAGAGGCCGAACTGTCAACTGATATGGCAGCGCCCTCCCCTCTAACATAAGATGGCAACACCTACCGGCGAGCTGTCAACAAGCGACAGTCGTAATCGAGGAGTATTGTAGCAACCGCGGAGCGCGCCGGTCATACGAGCAAAGCTTGTAATATAACCTGACATACATTTTTT